CAGCTCAAGGAATCTCATGCTGCACGGCAAATTCTACAGACACTCTCTGAGGTGCAGTTTTGAAGTATATCTAACACTGGTCAAACCTCAAACTCTTCTAGCGGAGCCCTTGGCACATTTTCTGTTGTGAGCGCAGGTCGTTCGCTGTGGGACGGAACGCAAGCAGTTGCAAAAGAATCCCCACTTGGCAGTGGGCTCAATTTGTGCAAACTTGTGAGTTTGGCAAGCCATGGCAAGCCTGGGTTTTGTTTAAAGGCTCGATGGCTCAGGTTCTTCTTTCTGATGACTTTTTCCATATTGAGATGAAGCCAATTTTGTGCCAATGGATGTGTCATAGTCTCAGAAAGTCTTTTCGTCAGAAGGGTTGTGCTTCATTGAGCTTTCTTGCAATTACTAATGCTTTGGACAAAAATCGCAAGTGCGATTCTGGGTGGACTATTGCAACAGGTCTGTGGTTGACCATCGAGCATGTCGGCGCATTCCTCAGTGACATGTACTGATGGAACACACAACCCATTTGTATGTGAACCTTTTCGGCCTTTTCAGCTGCACAGTCATCCGCCAGGTCGCGTCTTCGAGGAGGGTTTCAGCCCTAGCGACCGTGGACTTTCAGAGGAAGAGATCACTGCTTATTTGTCCAAGACTCAGAGCAAAAATGATTTGGGCTTCGGGCTCAAACCAGCCTCCTACATCCTCTTGTCTCCGAATCATTTGCAAGTGCCTACAACTATTCTGGGCTGCCAGATCCAAAGTAGCTAGTTTGGACACTACTTTTTCCACTGAAGCTACGAGTGCTAGAAGGCACTCAGACTTTACATTACTGTACATGGGCTGAACACATGCAACAGGCCGAACTGCCCTCCGTGCTGTGTTGCTTAGTTTTGGTCAACATGAAGTTAAGTTTCCCTAAGAATCTAGACACCAAATCATTAGTGCGAGCACTTCTTCAAAGAACCTCCCCCTCAGGTGTGGGGAGCTTCCTTGAAGAAGCGTTAGCTAGCCTGCATCCAGTTACTGGGAGCAAACCAATTTCTCTCAATCAAGTAGGGAGGGGGGGGTAACCCGGGGGAGCGGGCTAAAAGAAAACTCCTAGTAGCTTCTTGTTCCTAGTAGTAAGGCCAGGAGCTACTAATAGCGTCCTTGCTCCTAGTAGCGATGCCCTTTGCTCCTAGTATATAGCTTCAAAAAGGATCGATGTCCCCGAGAGTCGGATCGGCAAATGCCACAGACACAGATGCGTTGTGCAAGGATGACACGCACCAATCCTGTCGACGTCAAAATGACTGGACGCTTGGAGGAATGGAGCCAATGGGTGGGGAGCTTGGCTCCAATGTGGGCTTCTGCTTTGCCTACTTTCCAGTTCACTGTCTAAGTTACAGCATTCTTCTTTGTATTTGCATTGACTTCACTTTACTTTTCTTCCTTTCTTCCTTTCATTTGCGTGTCGCTGAGCACACCTCGACAGTGCTTTGTTTCAAGACTGATGCGCTATGTATCAATTCTCAAACATCCAATCTAGGAGGATGTACGATCCGCACACATGCCACCAAATTGACTAATTAGTCTACAAAACATGGTGAAATCTGTTGAACAAAGAAGCATCCGCCTCACTTATAAGCCGCTCTGAACAAAAGAAATGTATCTGGAATAAGATGGTATGTCATGAAATGCTCCGGTGCCAAACCCTGGACATTGCTGCAAAAACCAGACAGTGAGAAACAGAGACTCAAAACTTGCCCTTTAAGGATAGATGCGAAAACAGGGAACATCCAGCTGGCCTTGTATAGGAAAAGCCTGATTCAGTAATCATGAACAAACTTTGTACTCCGCGACGATGGAATGAAGGACCTGAGCGAAACCCATTTTGAAGGAATATGAAGCGATGTATTAAATGTAGAGTCCAGAAGTATGTGTTCACAATGTGATTCTAACCATTCCATTGAACCAATCATTATCTTGCATTTTGGGATGCTGAAGGCCATGGTCAACGGACCTAATTGGCACAAAATCCATGCATTTTCACGATACCCGAGAAGAGACTTGCAGACAAGGAGCCACGGTGAGACAGTGTTCACTTGACAGTTTTGGGTGGCGAGATCGTACACATTGTGGCCCTGTGAGCACAGTGTTCCAATTTGTTTGAGAACATCTATGCAATCTCTTCTGAGGCGTCCGAAACCAAGTGGCTGCAGGACCCTGAAGTGTCTGAAAGTAAAGTTTCTTGATTAGCAAACACAAGCTCTTCTGGCTCCCTGACAGAGCTTAAAGGACTTGCTTGCGGCTGGAAGTGGGACTGCGGAAGGCGACTTTAATCCACATATTGTCTGACACTCATTTCTTCTGCATCTAGCTTTTGCTTCCATGGCCGGACAACATAGAAGTGACGCAAATGAGAGACATGATATTATTACATGGGCAGGAAGTCCAGGGGTACATGGGTACCAGGTTATCACAATCCGTGCTCATAACCGTACTTCAGGCGCTTCCTGTCTCCACTTTTGATCATGCTGGCCAAACAGACAGAACATTGTTCTAAAGGAGCTAAGGTTTGCTAAGGGACATGTAGCATTTGGACCAGTTTGGCTCGGTTTCTTTGTTTCAATTTGGTTCCTTTGGCCATACTTTCTTTTCTGTTCAAAACATATTGTGCTTAGGTTGCTGACAACCAGCGGGGCATTGCTTTGCCATCTGAGTACAAGGACCTCAGTTTGTGAAGCGTGTGCATGCTTGATCGGAAGGGTTGGAACTCTTTTTCTGCTCTTGTCTTGTTTAGTACTGCACCAGGACTTTTCAACATTTGCATCCTGATGCTTTAAATTTGTACATCACACGGCTATGCATGAACAGCTTTGCAGCATTTGCAAGAACACAGAACCAAACAAGAAAGGTAAGCACACAGAACACAACAGGACACTAAGTGGACAGTCTTTCCTTTTTCCTGCTCAATTTCAGCTTGTGTCGCTTCCAGTCGCTTCCATTATTCTTCTCGAGGTGTCATTTGTGAGTAGCAGCGACGGCAGCAAGACGCTGAGATTCCGTGAGACGCCAGCGGCCCTGCAGAAGCGCCTGGAGCGCAAGGACCTCAACTGGATTCTTTGGGACACGAATTGCAGCAAAACACCAATGGGACACGTCATAAAGCGTCCGTGTGCAAGGAGGCCTTTTGCCCTAATATGCTGTCGGTTTGTGTCTGTCTCTGAAACAACTCTAGCCATCCTTCTGCGGATTCCTTTGGGTTGCTTTGTCAAAACAGACAGGGAAACATGGTACTACGAGAGGGTAACCTTGACAATGCCGGAATTGTTTTCCAGGCTCTCTTTGCCTGTCGGTGTTCTCCAATCCAATCTACGCATTGCCATTCCAATTTCAATTCATTGGCAGCAGTCCGGCTGACTATGCACAGAGTAGCCAAGAACACAGCCATACCTTCAAGAATTACCAGAATTCATCCTCAAAGCGCGCCAAAGAAGGTTGAAGCATCTGGAATATATGTGCATGCTTAATTTTGTAGCCGTTTGGACCATACCCTGCCAGACCTCAAGGTGTGGACAGGCTTCCGACCAAAGATATCCAGACACTCAACCTGGGTGGTGAATGGTTAGCAGCTCAGTTGCGGAGTTGTCAGGGAAGCAGACGATGTGATTGGTGTGAAGCAAGTCTATCAGAGTGGACGGCATATCCGAGTGATTGCTAGCAGACTCAAAGAATCTTTCAATTTAATGCTTTTGCCTCTCTCAGGCTTGCAACTTTCCTTCCACATTGTTGGATGCCCGGGCTTCCGAACAGACCCAAAGAATCGATCAAGCATCATAGGTTTGCAAGGAGGTAGTTGGTCCACGCACACTGAAGTTTCAATAGTTTTGAAAGGGCACCTTCACGGCCAAAGACTGCCACTGCAGCCTGGTGAAGGTCTGCAAAAGATCGATAGGGTCACGTTCGGCATCATGACTGATGAGCAAGTGCCAGTCTCGGACCGGACATACTTTGGCCCAATGGTTTGTTCGATCGATGATGTGGAACCACAGGTCAGGCATGCTTTGGCAGAGCAACCCCTGATGCCACTTACCAGATCCAAGCTGGCGATTCCCTTTGTGGGTGCTACTCTCGGACTGTCCAGACGAAGTACGCGCAGCTCTTGAGAAAACCACTTTGCAAAAGCTCTTCTAGATTCTAGTATCTTCCAGCTTATGTTGTTTCTAGATTCTGAATTTTGACCTTGATTCTTTTCGATGTTAGAACATGAAGGCATCAACTGCTTGTAGCTGCAATGGTTCTGCATCAAGGCAAAGACGTTCCGTCGCAGAGCTCTGAGTTTGCCCATCCTGACATTGTGTCAGGAACCAAGGGGCTCCAGGGCTCAAGCAAGATACGCTGTTAGCGGAACTTTGTACATTTGGAACCCATATCATGCTTAGGAGCAGTCCGCCTGCATGCCTTCGCGTGTTTGTGCACCCTCCATATCTACTTTCGATGCTGTCCAGTGTTAGAAAAGCCCCTGGCAAGATTGTATATAATATTAAGCACGTGTATGAACAGAGCAACAACTAGAAACTTATCCAGGACTGATTCGCATACATTATCCATCCATTTCCTTCCTTTCTTCCTCCATCCTCCCATATATTGTATGATGCTTTCGTTCATCCATTCATACATTCATTCAAAATTGGTCCATCACTCCATCTACATTCAGAACAATGGATACCTGCATGGCCAATGTAAAGCCATTAAAGCAGCTGAGGCTCGGCCTCACATCCTTTGCCTACCGCTACGAAGGCTTGCGTCGGTCAGACTTTGACGAGGCTGGAGTGCGGTTCAAAGAAGATCAAAGCACCAAAGAGAGCAAGTCAGACTAAATAAGCTGATTGGAATGTATGATATGAGGATCACTTGCCCATCTTGCCTTGATGACCTGGATGCAAGCCAGCCCGCGTAAGCCAAGTATAATGATAAAGCAGCAGCCCCATTGTTGTTCATTGAGTTCTCGGAAACCACCGCAGGTGATGTCAGCGCTGGCAGATCGTTTGGAGAATGAGGGTGGTGGCTCGCAACTAGAACGACCAACTGCTTTGCGAAATGTCCTTAGCTGCGCAAACAAAACAACTACAATACTGAAACCTCGTTGTCAAACCATAGAAGAACACATGGAGAAGAAAAGCCCAAGCCCAATCATTGCTAAGGCTGGAAGGCTTGGGTGGAGGAAGCTGGCGCTGTCTTTTGTGTAAAGCAGCGAGAAATGGATGAGAGGCAGGCTGCAGAGGTTGGGAGCCTGGTTCTCCAGCTTTGAGCGAGAGACAAATGCAGTTGAGATTGCGACGATTGCTCCCTTCTGACCAAGACCATGCTCAAGCCAAGTAGAGGCTGCAGGCATACCAATTCAGACAATTAATATGAAACTGCAAGAAACCTTGGAAAAATAAGACCGTGTTCCACCTCACTTTCAGTTTTTGACCCTTCGCACACCATGATGAGAAAAGGAGAAGGTTTTGCCCTGGAAACGCATTTGCATTCGGCTGCTCGGGAAGGTCAGATTGAAAGGGTGAGGCGATTGCTGGATCAACGTGCCGATGTCAACAAGGTGGATGTGGATCTTTACACTCCTTTACACAGGGCTTGTGACAAGAAAGATGTCGAATGTACAGCACTTCTCCTGGAGGCCAAAGCTGACCCTGATGTGTCCCACCCAGGCTTAGATGGTTGGACTCCGCTGCATGTGGCAGCATGGAAGAATTCCCGAGAATGTGTTGAACTGCTGATTGCAGCGGGTGCTGATTGCAATGCCATCGATTGGTATGGGAAGACTCCCATAAGTCTGGCTGGCAAAGATGCAAAAGCTCTTATGGCGGCTTTGCAAAGACCACAGCCCGTTGACACCTGGAAAAATCTTCGTCAAGGATGCGTAATGCAGCCGTCGGCAGTTCACCTGGCCAACATTGAGCGCTGCACGAAGGCCGGCATTTTGTTTGTTTGCGGTCGTGCTTGCAGAGTCATACTGTGAGTGTCGTAGAACTTGTTTGTCAATGACACCTCTGCAAGGCTTCCGCAAATCATGGTGAGCAGCAAGGTGATTTTTGCTCTCAGTTTGACGCGAGCTGCAAGGGAGCCTGAATGGCTCTCGTTGATCGATTGCTTGCGCAATGCCACGATGCCAAGCTCTTGGACTATTCATCTAATAGCGATGGCCTCCACCTAATAGCGATGGCTACAGTCTGGAATTGATGTACAAATGAAACTCTCATGACTCATGGCCATTACCCATTGTATATAACTCATGATTTTCGGCGGCCTTTTCTGCGACCTGCATGCCCAATGCATTTCAACAAAAGGGCGATTGCTGACAGCGGATACTAGACAATGCCAAAGCACGACTTGCTGAATGATATACCGTATTTATCCGTGCTTATTGATGTATTTATTTCTATCTCTTTTTAATATATATATGGATATCTATATATTTGTTGTTTGGTTTATTTCCCTCCGCCCAAGGAGACAGGCGAGGATCCTCGTGCAGACAAGCGCCCCCGTGCAACGAGCTGAGCATGAAGCTGGAGTTGGTACACACATTCCGCAGAAACAGTTACGAAAGCCAGCCTTCGTAGAAGGCGCCAGCTGAGTTGTGCTTGGCAAACGAAGTGAGTAGTTAGGGGGTTTGGGGGGGTGGCCCGCAAAAGGTACACGTAAACTCGGCACATGCTGGGGGAGGAGGGTGGACGGATGGAAGGTTTTTTGAGGTTGTGTTGGAGGTGATTTTTGAGGGGTGGTGATGCAAGAAATGCAATTTGCATCATTTGCATCATCTGAATGGTAAGGTGTAGTTGGCACCTTGCCAGATATAGATACCCAGGGTAGCTGTAGTGCAGATACCAGGTTTCGTACTTCAAGTTCCCTTTCCATCAACCGCTCGATAACCTTTACACACGCACAGCAGTCCGCAGCTTTGAAGTCTCATGCGCGCGATACCTGGGAACAGAATTGTAGCTACCCTGGGTCTGTAAAAGTGCTATGTTGCTATACCTCTTACACACCTATATAAGTTCAAAGCACGAATGAGACTTCAAAGCTGTGGTTTGCTGTGCATGTGTAAAGGTTATCGAGCGGTTGACGGAAAGGGAACTTGAAGTACTATACCTGGCAACTGAATTGTAGTTACCCTGGGTATCTATACCTGGCAAGGCGCCAGCTGAGTAAGAAGGGGGGTTCGGGGGGGTGGCCTGAGAAAGCACACTCGAAAGTAAAAACGCTTGCTTTCGATTGGCGTTTTCTCAGGTGTGGTTGTTAAATTTACAGCATGCAGCTTCTTCTGCACTTTATATTTGCCCCAAAAGAGAAGCCAGATTCTTGAGGTCCTTCCCCTTCACTTGCTGGAGAAAACAAATGCTCCACAGACGCTTGGAAGCAGTTGGCCGTATTTCCGTCTCAGCATTTCTTCCGACTTTAACTTGAACCGAGCAAGAGAACGATGAGAAAGATTTAAAGTGGTAAAGTTCACACTTGCGGACTTGAAGACTGCCACTTGAGGATGCAGCGCCTTTTCGAGCTGTTTCGGAGGCCCTGGAGTCCGGGAGTTTGCTTATTTCCTTTGCACATGCAGCACTTTGTACAGAGGCTGCCCTCTGCCATCCACTTCTACCTGGAGACCAACATTTTCCCCAATTTCATGCGCTTTCAAGAGCAGAAGCCAGCTTCTAAAGTTACATCGTTTCACTGAGGTTTGTTTGCCATGTAGTCTGGCCAAGGTTCTCTGCCTCTGGTCAAGAAATGGGTGGTTCGATCCTGTTCAAGCAAAGGCCACTCATTGAAGCACGTGAATGTTGAGATTGACACCATAGCAACATAGGGTGTGACATAGTATCTCAAAGACATCCATAGCGGTATAGCGGACATAATCCGTTCAGAACTGAAGTCAGTCATGCTAGACTGTCAATGCCCAATGCTCGCTGTGTAAACGTGGTCAAATGGTCCCACCGAACATGCATTAAGCTCTATTCAAGCCACTGGAAGCCCAAGAACGACCACAGCAGAAAGCCTGCAACAAGCTTATACCGTATACCAGCTTAATCACTCTGCGGGTGTAGCCCCCACATTGGCAGAATCAAGCATGCGTGCAAGTCCCGCGATCCAGGGGCCTCTGATTTGGATATACAACATGCGCCGAGTGATAATTGATTGCCCTGTTTAGGCTCATTAAATTGTATTTTACAGGTACAGATTATAGAGCGGTGATCAGACCCATCCCTCATGTCCAGCCCCCTCTGCCACTACCACAAACTTTGCAAGGCTTTTCAGATGCCCTCCCTGGTCATGCGCACATACAGACACACTGTGGAAGAGTCAATTCGGAAAAAGGAAGTCAGAGGCCGTCCGAGGAAACACCAAATTCAAGATCCAAGTCAGACTCATTTCTAAGTTCCCACACTCTGAAGCCCAGAGTTCTACATCCAGGTGCAAAAACCAAGTATGTTTTTCAACCTGAGCCCACTGTATAACAGCCTCTAGGACATGATGCAATCATGATTTCTCAGTGCAACAAGCAGAACTGGAAGGTGGATCCAGCGTCGCAGATTTGTGCACCAACCCACAAAAAAGTTTTTGTTGGTGCAAGACTGGATTGGTTGCTTGCACCCCCTGCTAAGATTCGTTGGAAAACCACATAAGTAAAAGGTGTACCGGCTTGCCCAGTTCATGTCACTCAATTATATGCAATTGTATACCCGCAGCTCCAGGTCGAGACACACTTAGATGGTTGCTCGCAAGAGCTAGGATCAGTATGAAGTCCCACTGTACACGCATTAGCCCTTGACTCGATCGAACCAAAAAAATGCAGAACGGAAAGGTGAAAAGTCGGGAGACTTGAAAATGTTTGAACAGTTTTTGCTCACAACAGTTGCGACTCGGCAGTGGACAGCTTAAAAATTGAGAGATGCAGGTACGTTCCCGAGGCGTCCCTCAGGAATATCACAACACGATGGAAGGGTCTTCGTTGGGCAATGCCTTCCAAAGTGTTCATTGCCCCCTGCCTCTTTTTCCGCGCTGTGTTTTGATTTGAAAAAACTGCACGCTAATAGTGATACCAGGAGCCCTTAGTAGCGAAACCAGGGGCCCCTAGTAGCTTAATTTGTGGCTCAAAACCTTACGCACAGGTGTGGACACACACACAAAGCCGTACTCGGCGCGCTCTCCCCTGCTTGCAAACTAGTGGCGAGGCCAGGAGCCCCTAGTAGTGTCCTTACTCCCCGTAGAACGGCCAGAGAACGGCCAGAGGGAAAAACCTACATCACCGTAATCGGTGCGCTCTTTGCACACATAGCGCCAATATTGGCGCTGCGGAAAATTACTAGCCACCTAAAAAGCCTTAGAAAGACAGACAAAGCAAACAAAACAAAAGCAAGCTAAGAGGGCAAGAAAGAAAGATAGGTGTAGTTACGAGGCCCACTCAGTTAAACGAAAGTAGTTAGCGAGCGGGACTTTGGTCCTATACTGCCCGGGTAGCTAGAGGTAGGACAGGAGAAATAGAAGGAAAGGCACCAACACACGAGTGTGTTGAGTGCGACTTCCTTCTGTAACCCTAGATAGCGGGTGGGATAGCAACGGAGGCCTGGCGCAGGGAGGGGTGGTCCAAGGGCTGTCATCATTGACGTGTCAAGCCGATTATGGGGACGGCGGACCCATTGTTGACAAGCGTCTGAAACCTAAAGAAACCTAAAGAAAGGCCTCCAGAAAAAGAAAAGCAACAGCAAGAAAGAAAAAACCAAACGGACCAAGAAAACCCACTCTCTCGTTTCGCGCTCTCGTCCGGCCTATGAATACTTGGCAGCGTGACATGGACATGTGAATACTTAGCCATGTGCAAGCACTCCAAACTGGAGTTGATCACAGTAAGCCCTGCGGCATAGTATCAGTGGTATCATGCAGCGCCGCGGATCAAGGGGAATCAAGAGAAGTCCAGGAGTGCAAACGGAACATTCAAGGTGAGTCCCCCAGGATCTGGGTCTGTGCACATGCAGCGCCCCTTGACGGGGATCACACCACAGCCCTCAGTGGGACTCTGTGGCGATACACACTTAGGTGGTTGCTCGCAAGAGCTAGGATCAGTATGAAGTCCCACTGTACACGCATTAGCCCTTGACTCGACGGAACCGAAAAATGCAGAACGGAAAGGTGAAAAGTCGGGAGACTTGAAAATGTTTGAACAGTTTTTGCTCACAACAGTTGCGACTCGGCAGTGGACAGCTTAAAAATTGAGAGATGCAGGTACGTTCCCGAGGCGTCCCTCAGGAATATCACAACACGATGGAAGGGTCTTCGTTGTGCAATGCCTTCCAAAGTGTTCATTGCCCCCCTGCCTCTTTTTCCGCGCGGTGTTTTGTTTTGAAAAAACTGCACGTTAATAGTGATACCAGGAGCCCTAGCGAAACCAGGAGCCCCTAGTAGCTTCCTTTGTGGCTCAAAACCTTAGGCACAGGTGTGGACACGCACACACACACACTCAAGATAGAAGTATGTACGGTCGGAATGCCACATGCCCTGAAGAAACCTTGCACAATGGGAGCCGAAGTAGGCATGCAGCGAGGTCCAATCATCCTAAGAGTCTGGATTCCTAGTTCTAAAGGTCCATGCTCCAAGAGGCAATGCGTGACTGCGGAATGCAAACGATTGGATGGCTGGCCGAATTTTTCTAGTGAGATCCTCCAGTTGTCGCTTGCAGACCCAGGAGTGATCAACGCAGGCGCGTTTGCACGACGACATAGATGGGTCTTCGTTTTCGAACCCCGTGCTGTGTAACTAGAATCGGCCTTCAAATGTAAGTCAAACGACTGCGTGCCTGCACACAACTGCGCGCGCGCACGTCAGTAAGGAGATGTGCTCTTGCCATATTTGTCTCTATATTTATACATGTATAAAATTGTATGTCGATATAAACCTATCAATGCTCGTAAAGAGCGATGCTTGAAGATCAGCAGGTTTGAAATTGCAAGAACTATTTTCAAAAAAAAACTGTTCGAAGATGCCACTTGCTCATCCAACTCTTCTGGCAGACTTGGCTTTTCCGGCACTCCCAGCGAACTGATGCCACGAGAGCTCGGACAGTGTGAGTACGAACCTGGCAGCGAGGGTGAGGCCAAGGGGCCTTCTCTGTGCAGTTGCAGTTGCAGCGACTCGATGTAACGTGTTTGTAGGAACGGTTCCCGGATTTAGCAGGAACATCAGCTTCTACTTAAGTATTTGCAAAGAGCAATAACCTACTGCAGCAACATGGTGTTCCCCACTGTCATGCCGGATTTAAAAAACATGTTTCCAGCTTGAAAGGGATTGGTGTGAATTGCTGCAAAGGCAAGTTCTCTGGTCTCTCCATTGTTTGTATATGTTTGTATTGTATATAGGATGTTCTGAGTGTTTGGTGGTGCCTCTGATCGTGTCGGTGTTTGCGGTGCAGTATTGGATAGTACCAGCCACTCCACGAGCTATCTCAAGTTGAACCGCATTAGCAAGATTCCCAGGGGTGGCCGAGGTCGTATCCCTTGATAATCAGCTACAGTAAGCTCATTTTGCTCGTTTTGCATCATCTCAACTCACTCATGCACCTACTGCGTTACTGCATCAACTCGCCATTATGCCTTTCGTTCTTCTACCCTACATCCCTTCTGTTAACTCAACTCATTTTGGCAATCGGCCACATGGCGAGCCACCTGCCTTGGCCACCGAGCCACTACGGGTCCAGCCAGCAGTTGTGGGAATATTTTACCAAGTGTTCCAAAGTTCGGACATTCAGAACAATTCACAACCTGAGAGCGATGGCCTCCAACTCTAGTTTGCCTTTCTCGCTTTTGTGGTCGGTCCCCATGTTAAAGAGCAGGATATGTGTGCACAAAGCTGTACAGGACTCTGTGCGTCAATAGTTTTCTTGACGCAGGAACATTGCCGATTCTTGCTCGCGCGTTTGGGCTACAGAGTGATGAGTCGTCTGTCGTCAGCTTTCTTGTGGCAGTGCTGGGTGTACATTAGTGTAGGTCGGGGGGTTGGTGCCAGAGAACAAGTTGTGGAAAGGCTATAGAGATGAGCATGCTTTAAAAGGCAGCCAACTCGTACTATAGCTTTTGCTCTTGAGTTTGTTGCTTGCCCTTGAGCAGTAGGACTTGATGTTTCTCACGCGCCAGCAGGCCGTTTGGTTGCAACAGAGCTACTGTAGTCCAGCTGAATGGGTGCTATAGTAACGGTAGTCATGTGGTAGAGTGACGCCCATTCACCGCTTGTACACTAACAAAAGCTGGTCTAGTAAAAGTAGCCTTTACCATCCTTTACCTTTGTGGGCCACCGTAGAGTGCCGGTGGAGCACTGCAGAGGCTTCATACCCGTACCTTCAACACAGTTGTGACACCTGTGCATGTGCGATGTTTGCACATGTCTGTGAAGATTCCATAAGATTCCATGTGGAGTTGAGCTGCTTGCAGTAGCAGCGGCTTTTAGATCAAAAGTACAGGCCAGCTTCTACCAGATTTTTACCAGTTAATACAGCTACAGCTAATTACAGTATCTAAAATTATCCAACAATACAATTATATAGCAAAATAACTCGCTAAAATCACACATGGCTCATTCCTACACCAAACATCTAAAGGTAACATGGTGCTATTCATTCAACAGTAGGGTTTCATTTTCATGCGTGGCCGAGCACCATAGACCTTGCATAGGTTCTGCAACAGAAACGTGGCCGAACCACAGCCGAGCAAAAAAGCTGTCCTGGCTGTCCCTCATTTCCTTTGATAGGGCTTGCATTTGTCACCATCTTATATTTACCCATGCTTTATGTCGGCTCAGTTCATTCGATCTCAGCTCAGCTCACCATGGGTCGGGTCAGATCACCTCACCTCCGCGCATCACCTTATCATCATTTTTCATCACTCTTCACCACACTAACATGCACACACTCCCCCGCCCTCACGTTTTGTTATCCCGCATGTGTTTGAGCCGCCTTGGGTTTGGCGATCCTTTGCTCCCTTCCAAATTTTCCCCTTAGGGAAAAAAGACACTGGCCGTGCCCCTGAAAACCTGGGCCCGCTGGCGAACGCTGCGTCCTCCTTTTGTCCTCCTTCAGGAATAAAGTTCAAAGAAAGGGCCTTGTCCAGGTCCTGCTTGGCCGCGCCGGGGGCCCTGTCTTCTCCACCTTTTTGGCACCTTTGTCCAGGCTTTGTTCAGGCCTTCGTGTCTTGCTTCAGGCCTTGTCTGGGTCTGTGTCATCATTGTTGGCCCTTTTTATGCCTTGTCTGGGCCTTGTCCCCTGCTTGGCCGCGCAGTTTTCCTGTTCTCCACCGCCTTGCCCGGGTGGGTTTTCTTGTGGCTATGAATGCAACAGTGATGCAGCTTTTCAAGTTCGATATCGTCCTCCGATTTCTCCAACATTGGAATTCAATGGCATTGACGCCAAACAAAGCTTGCTGAAACTGTTTGGGGTCTAAGCTGGCACTGTATATTTTTTCTTGGTGTCCCCTCAAGGATGCCACGGGTTTGAGTCCCTTTGTTGCATCCCTGCGGAGGTGGTAAGCACCCTCACTTCGCCCTCCATTGTGTCCTTTAAGACATTGAGCTCTGACTGGACTGTGGAGGCAAGTGAGGAGATGGACGGTGAAATTCATCGGCTTGTCAGCAACTATTATATATAGAATTGATCAGGGTGTGTGACTATCATAATATATCACATATCCTTGTTCCGACTTTTGAACGTGTTTCGGAGTGCTCACGGGCATAGAGACTGGAGGCGCTTTTGGATGCTGTTGCGGAAGCAGCTTGTCGAGGGGAATGCCAAGCGCTCATAGACACAGGTGTCAGAAGCTGAGGAAAGCAGAGGTCTTGGCCACAGGTCTTGAACCTGAAGTAGAAAGACCCTGTGAAAAACAATCAAATTCATGCAAGGCAATTGCGCTGCTCTACTTACTCTAACTGCCCACTTTCTACATTTCTATATCAGAGACTGGTGGCGGCCAGCATGCTGCAATGCCTCCGCTTCCCAACAAGGCTCTGGTGACAGGCTTGACCAACAAAGAGGTGGCAGAGCACCTCCTCGGCCTGAAGAAGCGTGCCTTCTCCAAAGCCGCCCAAAAACAAAGCCGCTAAGGCTAAGGAGGTCGTATTGAATTGCATTAGATTCACATCTGAATGGCCCGCATAATATTTGTTTCAATTGCTTTCAAATTCAATTTTGAAACAACAGCAACCCACCATCAGGTGCTGATGGCACAATGCCACTAACACTCCCTGACTGGATCGAGGGTGTGGTGTTCATAGAAGAAGATGGTGCCAAGCGTATTTTGCCCATTCCTCAATTTGTCATTTGTTGATGTTGGTCAACAGTCAACTACTTGAGAAAAACATGGCAGATTGGTATACATTGGGTCTGTCCTATTACCTGTAACAGTCAGCAAACAATTGTCACTATTTTTGAGAAAGGCCTTTACTAACCATCATGATCCACTGCTGCTGGTAACGGGATAGACCCAAGGTATATAGTATACACTAGATTTGGAAGACAAGATCAAGAATGTCCATGTGACGCCATCAAGGAATCGCCAGTCCCGAGAAGTGGGTAAACTCGCAGCTGGAAGCCCAACGGATCGACAGAACGGGGGCACCAGAAGTCCAACAGACCACTGTCGGACTTTGATTTTGGACTAAGGACAGCGGGGTGCCGATCTCCGCCAGATTCTGCTTCTACGATCAGATTCACACCACAGGACCACATCTTTTGAATGTTAAGCGCGGCTCACTAGTGTACATACACAGTCACAGTAAAGAGCAGGCTGCCTTGCAGGCCCATTGCAATCACCCCTGTGCCTACTAGCTAAGTTTCCCTAAAAAGTCTAGGAACCAAATCATTAGTGCGAGCTATCCTGCGTCCTGTGGTTAGTAGCTTAAGTAAGCTACTAGCTACCCCTAGCGACCTCCTAGCGGCCTACCCCCCCAGGCTTTAAAAATTCCTTATGAATGGTGGATAATTATTTGTTTCAGTCTTTTTGTCAACTTGCTTTTGGTATGTTAGCGTCTTTCTGCACTTTGCAAAACAGTGGATGACGTTTTTCATTATGCTTAGCAGGCTTTGCATATAAGATTTTCACATTTAACACCAATGATCAACAAGCCCAAGGGCCAAAAAAGAAAAACACATGGTGGGGATGCTTGACCAGAAAACACCTCGTGATGACTCTATTTCTATGCACGGGAAACTGACTTCCTGAGGTGACTTGTTGAGCTTAGCTTGCACCTAACCAGAAGATACCAAGCTGGTTGAATTGAATTCTGTGTGGGAGTCAAGTTTTTGGTTGATTTTACAGTTTGCCCGAATCAACCAGTGAATGCATGTTTGGTGGATACTGTTGGTCCGTCTTTGGGAGTTGGTTGGGAGACATTTCACCACTACAGTATCAGTTCGCTTCCGCCTGTTTGGATCAAGTATTGCAGGGTGTGGTTTTGGATCATGTCCTATGATGTCCTATGTGTGTTGTTCCTGCTGAATGTGCTTGGATGGTTCTTCGACAACTTGGATGTTGGAGACCCTGTTCTGTCAATGTGGCTGGTGGCTGCGTAGTCTTGTCCCCTTTGGTGATCGATAGTCTATGAAAGAAAGATCCAAAAGGAAAATAAGGCCCCCTTCCAAAAGCCTCCTTTGCAGGGGCCTTATCTTCTTTTTTCTTTCCACCGACACTGAGCGAGTTGGAGACCTTATCTTCTGTCGGTCGTTGTTTGCAATATAAAGTTTGGCTGCCCCATCCTGTTTTGACTATTCCTGGAATCGCAAGTGACATAGACACCGACCACCACTCAGTTTGGCCAGTGGCTGCTTTTCTAAGCCTGAGAGGAATGGACATACAGCATCGTTTGGATGCTGTCGCAGCCCTGACTCTGGGTGGGAAGCCAAGCAAGTCCTGCAAGCACACTTTCCAGGGTCAAAGCTGTCACGTGTAGAGAGGGTCAGAGAGCCCTGAGGCAAAGACATGGTGTGGCGCTTGCGGCTCAGACCTTGCAATACACCATAGGTGCATGATGATCCAACCTGAGGTGACTTTGCTCAGGGCGCATACAGGTCCTGCAGATTTTTGCCGTCTCTGAGAGAAGTCAAAAAAAACACACATATATATATATATATATTATAGCTCAAGCATGCTGAAATTTGTTTGATGACCTTGATGCATGGTAGCTGCTTTTTGAGCAGCAGGATGCGTGGAATTGGCCGTGGCCAGAGCATTTGCCTATATATCATTCCGGAGTTTCTGCCTCAGCCCTTTTGCTTTCATCAATGGCAAACCATTTTCACCGGTGGATACAGAACATACAAAACCACATGTGAGCCGGGAATGGGCTCACAAGTCTTCAATGACGAATGGTATGGAAGCTTGTCTCTTTTTGAAGACCCTTTTGCAAGGAGATGGCTCCCAAGATCATTGCCTGTGATTCAAAGCATATATATAATTAAGATGTTGTTTGTCAATTCCATATAACTGCAGGTGAGATTGGTGTTATTGTTGCCGCCATATGGTTGCCACATATTGATAGGAATACTGTACACAAAGTGCATAACAAAGAAACTAGCTGACTAGACTAGCAAGACGTATCCCGAATTTTCAACTTCGCACCATATGTGACACTGTTAGGCTCGGGGGGTGCCAATCCCTGCATCAACTCGAGGATCGAAGAACTGATCTCTCGTGATTTGGGACTTGCTCACCTGCCACAACTGCATGGGGCTCAGCTGTGGCAAGATCGCAGGGCCTAGCTGACAGTGTAAAAAACGAATAAAACGCTTGATGGGTGCCGTTTGCTCCAACAAGGCCACGCTTTTCCACACTTGGCGATCGTCACAAGGCATTTTGGTCAAGCCAGATGAGTTGCATGTTGCACTCATTTGCACTCCTAACTGAACAAACTTCCTGCTTCCAGGGCGTTCTTGATGCCGTGGCCTGTTGGTTGCTGTGCCAGATCCGTCCTCAGTGCACCCTCGTGGACTCGAACCTCTTTCCCACACAATATTTTGCATGTTGAAACCAAGGTCCATGAGAACAGAGAAAGTGCAATATGCCATGCTACAGCTGCAAAATTTGGCAAACATTTGGAGAAGGACCAAAATTGCTGCATGATGTGCTCATTTGTTTTGGAGGCCTTTAAACTTCAAAGCTTGATGTGTTGCGGGTACCGTGTGCCAAGCTGTTTGATTTTGTTCAAGTGATTGTTCTCTCGCGTCAGCAGTTTAGCGGAATCTGTGGGAAGGGCCTCTTGAGTGGCTGAAAACGGGAACAACATGAACAACATGTCTGTATTTCTTGAAAGGATTTGTGCATGTGATCATTACTGTATATATATATAACTAGTTTGTTGTATGTTGCATGAAGTCAGTGAGGTTGCCAGCAAAGTATTTTTTTCTTATAATGGGCAATGGAAACATTTTGGTGCCATCACAGCTCAGTTTTTGACGCGCAACGAAAGTCACCTTTCCTCCCTCACCTTTTTGTTGCAGACATCACTTTCACAACAGGATCATTTTGTTTTAAAAGTCTAACCTAGCCACTACTTGTCGCATTCGAGCCTTGTCTTGACAAACTTGTTGTCTTTGCAGCCGAATGTACACCTTCAATGGTTGCCTCTGCATAGCTAGCGTGTCATCTTCTTGGTAGCATAGCATTTGTCGGATTCAGTTCTTTTGCTGAATATGCTGCTTGCTGAGTCGGAACACTGCAGCAACAACCAACTGGACCTTTAGCAAATCAACAATGCCGATTTGTTCCTCCACCCACTTCATATTTACTCCGTTTTTTGTGCATCCGGCATTCTTTTTATACCTTGATTATTTCCAGTACAGTTTAGCATAGTTTAGCAACATGCCAGTTAGGAGCTCTTTGGCCGTGGTCATGGAAGACTATGAGGCGTGAAGACTGACATAGCCTGCAACAATTTGGCTTTTTTCTAGCAGTGGGGAAAAGCTGGTCATTGTGCTGTTTCTGATCGAAGACAATCATCATAGCTTCTCGGCTTCTTGCATGATAACGGAACAGAACGAAGGTTGTTGCATTGTTGCTTCTATTGACTGCTTCTCAAGGCAATGGCTGGAATGAAGCCAGATACGCTTGCAAGGGTTCAAGTCTACAAAGAGCCCATTGACTTCAAGGCGTGACCGGCTCTTCAAGTGCGCAGAGGTCCTGAAGAAATACTGTATGTCCAGCTCAAGATTCAACCATGGTATATAATAGATTAATAATCACCTGTCACCAGTGTTGTTCAACATGTTTTAGCAGGTGCCCTCGAAAGTTCCGTCAGAACCTCAACATAGAGACATGATGTGAAGGGTTGTGATCTCATGTGATGATGTGATATTATAATGTGAATAAAACTTGAAGATTCTCGCTGATGTTTTTCCTGTGTAGAAGCCTCTCTTGTGTGGCGGCTGGCTTCGTGGTGGCATGGTACGCTGGTGCCGAGGCACATGGATACCATCGGTGCTGCAGCTGAGCGAAGGATTTTCGCTTTTGCTTGCTTGCACCCTCTTTTGCATTGAACACTCAAGGTTTACACGCCAAACCAAACGCTGCGCCGAGTCAATGTTTGTGCGGCCCTTTGGAACATGTGCACAACGAGCAGATGCTAGCCGAACAGGATTGCTGATGCTGAACGCTTCGTTCGAGATGACGACAGGAGACTCTGAAGATTTTCTGCAAAACTGCACTGCACAAGATATGAACACTTTATCGGAACAAAGTATCGGAAAAAGAAGACGCTACTAGGGGCTCCTGGCCGTACTACTAGGAGCAAGAAGCTACTAGGGGCTCCTGGCCTTACTACTAGGAACAATGTTTGCTATTAGAAACAAGAAATACATAGAATTAGAATTTAATTAGAGTATCGGAAGGGTTCTTGAAGGAAGCTTCTCCCGCAGTTCGGGAGATGTTTCGAAGAACCCGAGCCCTTCGACTTACCTGGAACGACTCTTTGTTTGACCGCCCCAGCTTGCCCGAAGAAACTCTTCTTCCCAATTCCAAAAGGCCAGAACTGGAAGAGATCCGTGGAAACATGCTGCGGCTTGCTGAGGCCGCTGATTAACTTTAGGTCTTTTGAGCTTGCTGTGGTTCATTGTTCACGCTCACTATCCCCACTTCCAAAGGAGACCATACTATCAATAGTCCGCTCAGCTTTGACCATCATTATTCTGCATTCATTGTCAGCTGATGTCAACGGATGTCAACGGTATCAAGGAAAGCACGCGCTTACTGTAAGAGAACTGGACCTGCATTGAAACACCATGAAAACAGGTGGTAAGGTGAGTTCTCATGCTTATGAACGTGCAAGAGTGTATGTCTCTTGAGTGAGGCCGGTGGCGAAACTCAAGAAACTGAAGGAGAGCCTGGTTCCTAAGCCATTTAACGATATTGGACGATGCTGCAATGGTGAAAAGCTGAAGCTGCGTCAAAGTCAAAGGCATGTTATATGCATGATTATGTAGATGTATATATACAATATAATTATACATAATATATACATGTATATAACTGCTTTCGCTGCAAGAAGAAGATTGGTGATGATTCATTGGTGCCAGAACATGTCCTCGTGACATTCTGGGTGGAACTAAGGCGCGGCTTGGAAACTGAGCAGCAGCGGGAACAGGAACAAGAGAGGCAGCAAGAGGCGTGATGCCCAGTGCTCCATTTTGCGCGTGGTGCCAACTGATTGCGCGATCCAAAGCTGATGCTTTTGCAGGGACTGAGCACATACCGCCACAAAAGGGGATGGCTTGCAGGATACTAGCAGGAGGAATCCACAGAACGCACCAGCATACATTCAACAGGTGTGAAGAATTGAACAGTTCCTCAAATTGTGGGCTGCTTCGGAAAATTCTAGATCAATGTCAATCAATTTCACTTGCAACAACAAAATCGAGTGGAAAGGCTGAGATGGGAAGGGAGGAAGGGAGGGAGAGAGAGAGTGTAAGTGGGTGTGTGTAGCAGGCTGCAGAGTCCTACTGTTTTTTTTTTCGGCTTTTACCACGATTTGTCTCCTTGACCATGAACGCGTTTGCCAATTTAGTTGCGCTTAGCAGGAGGATCAGGGTTGATACACGCACCTGACGCAACGAAGCACAGAAGGGTGGAGACCGATCATTCACCTGTAGCCGTTTTGAAGATGACATGGTTGCAGTTACATCTCAATTTAGCTTTACAGGCTGATCAAGCTTGAATTGCAATATATAACTATTTGGCAGGCATGTGATCAATGACTTCAGTCAACTTGAAGTCACAACTGCTCCAAGTGTACAGTTTCCCTAAACATCTAGGAACCAAATCATTAGTGCGAGCGCTTCTTCAAGGAAGCTCCCCCCGCCCTCAGCCGGGGGAAGCTTCCTTGAAGAAGCGTGAGCTATCCTGTGCCCATATTGTAGAAGCTAACTTAGCCTAGCTTACTCCCTGAATTGAGTAGACGCCTACTTACATAATTAAGACTACTAATTAAGTAGGCAGGGGGGTGGTCAGCAAAAAACAGGGTTGCCTGACCTTCAAAGCGGACTGAGGAGCTGATCGGTTTACCCCAAGCTACGATCTTCCTTTTCTATCCTTTTCCTGTTTCACACTTATGCAGTGTGTGAGACCGAGCCCTTTGAACTGAACTATTGTCACCACTATAAATTGTAAATTTGATTAAGGGTGTTTAAGGATAAGTCATGGAGAAACTCAGCAACCAAAGATTCCCTGATTTTTCCGGCAAAGTAGTAGATCATGGCCATCCCATCATCTGGGTGGTTTTTACTTGTGCATTAGAGTTCTTTTTGAGTTCTGTTTGGTTGTGGCACGTTTTCTGGATTTGAGGTGCCTAGCCCTCACTCTTGCAAATGAGGTCGAAGAAGAGAACCAGCGGGAGCAAGAAATTCAGATTGAGAAATTTGTTGACTTAATGTGCGCGCCCTTGTTTGTAGTCAGACCTGATTTTGCACAGTGACAGTTTTTTGCATTGAGTGTATGTACATTTCGCATGTTCTTTGCATCTATTCTTGTGCAGAATAATGTACAATCAGGCATTGCAGAGACCATGAGGAGCCTGTGCCATGGGATGTAGTGCACTTAACACGCATATGTCAGTTCTCTACAAGTGTGCCCTCCAAGTCCTACAGCAGCACCCCAGTCTGTGCATTCTGTATTCCGTTCTTCTGAGGCTGATACCCTTGCTGTGCCAGAGGAGGAAACACTGCCAACGCAATTCTACGAGGACGGATTTTGGACATTCGATTCTTTATTTACGGGAATGACTTGCAGGCAAGGGACTTTTGCTTGTGGAAAAGGCAACCGTTGAAATCTCTCCCGTGCGAAGCCTCAGCTATTGTAAGTTGAGACTGGATCTGATGTCGAGCTTGACGTCCTGACAACCTTATTGATCTTTTTGCTCAGGGAAGAATGCCTCCTGTCACGAAACTGGAGCTAACCTCAGGTCATTATCAAATTTCAGTGACAGAGCTGTTTGTTGGATTAGCAATCTTCATTCTGCAAAAAAGGGAACCTATTCTGACTCTAGGTTTGATCCGCAATGGAGTGGTTTCCGCCGAGTGAAAAATGTCTACATGCAACTGGAGTGGGCCACTTCCTCACATAGAGAGCGAGAGAGAGAGAGAGAGAGTCACTTTACCTCACCAGTGAAGGTCCACCAGTCAAGGTCGCTTTTCTTTTGTGGAATGCTGCATGTGCTCAGTGGTCGGCCTAAGGTTTCAGATAAGTCTCGCCTTCAACGAGCCAAGAACGAGCTTCCATTGACTCGTGCAGAAGAGCATGAGATGCATCGCAAGATGCACCTGGTGCGCCACTCCCGCCCGACATCATTTTATTTTAAACGCAGAGAGAAGAGCCCCTAGTAGCTTCTTGTTACTAGTAGCGATGCAAGGAGCCCCTGTAGCGTCCTTGCTCCTAGTAGTAAGGCCAGGAGCCCCTAGTAGCGTCCTTGCTCCTAGTATATAGAAGGTTTATTATTTGTGTTATATGTGCTTTTTGCACGTTCCATTGGGTTCAATTCCGCACGCAACATGCAGCAACCTTTCCTGCAACTTCACAAGCCAAAGCTGTTCTTAGTTTAATTGGAGCAGTCTGACTTCCGGTTTGTCTATGTTTTGCCAAATTGCGCATCATTGGCTCTTGAATTGAAGTTGCGAATGGGGAGTAGCCAAGCGTGTTGCAATCGTGCACAGCACAACAGCATGCCTAGGGAACAAATACGTCCCTGCACATGATCTCAAAGATTTAATTATGCACAGAAAGCATAGATAGATATAAATTGTGCAATATACTTGTCTATTTTGTATGTAGTTTGATCGGCAGTTCTCGAGCTGATTAGAGCTTTAGTGAAGCATGCGCTCAGTCACTCGTGCGAGCTCATTGGACCCTGTTTTGAACTGGGCTTGTGATGCTTGTGAGGAAAGCACTGACTGCTTCTATTCCAGCAGCTCAGACGACTCCACGAGTTGGCTGAACCACGTCCAGCGAAGACAGAGGGGGCGCCCACCACCAAGCTGCTTCATTCATCCAGATGTCGAGGCTAAGGCAAATCAAAAAGCTCGACAGCTGAAATACCGTGAAATTGCTCCGCCAGCCACCAAGTTGCTTTATTCAACAGCCTTGATGTCTGTTCTTGGACCAACAACAATCTTCGTCCTTGCCTACATGAACTCCTCATGTGAACATGGGATGGACTCTCCAGTCCCGCTTTGGATTTGGCTTTGTGCAGCACCTTTTGTTCTGTGCCATTTCATCATTGAGGTTCGAATCTTTCGCTACACGACTATTCCATACTTTCAGGTAGTCGGACGATTCCAGATGCTGGCGGTACACTTGGGGTTCCACTTGTGGTTCCTTATCAGCACATGCAAATCCTTGGCGTTCCAGGGTGCAGTATTTTCCAACGCAGTGTTTGCTGCAAGGACTTTCGCAACGGCTCGGTGTACCGTTACCTACTCGGGTGAGTATGGATACGAGCGAGAGACAAGCTTCAACGAGATTTGGCAGATTACTTTGCGACAGTCAACCTTTGCTTTTTGGATGCGTGAGATACCACTGTCTGGTCAGGTATTGATTTGTTGGCTCTTATCCTTCTCCCCTATCATCCATGCATTGCTGGAGTCAATACCGGAGGATCAATGGCCCTGGGAAATTGACTACTCATTAGACACAGACAATACGGGTGAGTATACAAATTTTCTGGGCGGCCGCTTCACTCAAGGTGACTCGGTGATGCTGCTTGGCAGCGGCATGGGAATGTATCTCATAGATGAACAAAGTCCCTCATACCCAAGAGAAAAAACCTTTCATATTTTGGAAGGTCTCATGGCTTCACTTCAAGAGGGCATCCACCACCATTCTGTCCATTCACCGGGCGGAGATGGCAAGCTCGTCGAGCAGTCCAGAAGGGCATTACGTCAAATGCACGAGCCGCTGGAAATCTACACAAGAAATGCATTGACTCGATGCTTCCTGAAGGTGATTACTCTCGGGCTTTTCAATACCGCTCTGCAAATTCATGTTCAGATTTCAGTGTATGGAATGTTTCGGGTCACTAGCAAGAACAAAGAAGTGGATTTCCAGCGCCTGGTGTCGATTTCACTCAGCATCGCAAGTGCTTTCTTCTTGCTGATTCATGTTCAGAAGGTACTTTTGTATGCCGGGCAAGCACTTTCAAAAGTTGAGCATGTCATGGAGCACATCAATGAAACAGATGAGCCAGTTACTTGGAGGGACTTGAAGAATTACTTTGTATGGCGAGCAGCAGAAGCAAGGGTCATCCGCTACCGAGAGTATGTGAGATGGTCCACAGCTGCCTTTGTCCTGGCTGTTTCGATGGCAATCCTGAAGCTTTGCATGGCTTTCAGATGTCCGGATTCTCTCTGGAACATTGGCTCTGTGCACTCTTGCGTTGACCTTCGCTCTGCTTTTCTTGCTTCTGACGACTGACGATACCTAATTTTCAGACGTTGCTTCGCTTGCATGAAAGGAAAACAGCACTCAAGGTGAACTGTATCAATCATAGCCACAGCAGAACCTTCAGCCACAGCATGCCACGGCTCTTTCATTCCACTGCCAGATTTGGGATTTGCTGAACAGAAAAGATGCTGGAGATTTTGTTGGCATCTCAGCTGTCAGGAAGGTGAAAGATAGGATTCCTCAAGACCCTCCTTAAGGCCCTCAAAGCCATCAAGCAGCTAGTTGACACTTGGGACCCGCTCAACACTCCAAGGAGATCGCGCCAAAGTGGAGATACCGTGGTGGAAGCGGAGAGGAAGCCCAAGGTTCTCCTAAGTCTTGCTCTAAGGGTGAATTGTTCACAGACGTAAGGAGGACAGATGATTGTGCAAGGAGAGACGAGAAACAAGAGATTCAATGGCCCAAAATGGTACAAGAGTCACAACAAAATTGAAAAAAAAAGACTGAGATAAGCATTCCAAGAATGAACAATCGCTAGTAGTAACAGGTGCATCGCTTCTAGTAACAAGTGCCTTACTAGTAGTAACAAGAAGCTAATAGGAACAAGTGCATCGCTTCTAGTAACAAGAACTCAGAGGAGCTGACTGTCTTGGAGCATTTTTAGGTCACCCTCAAGGTCACCAACGCAAGGACATGTGGATTTTGAGCCGTTGGGTGCCAAGCCAACCGACCTTTTGTTAGCAATTAGCTATTAATTCTACGGTTATATATAAGTTATATACACATATATATTCACACTTGCATGTAGCTTGCGGGTGCAAGTTTTATGTTCACTGAAGTTCACAAAATGTACCACCGGGACATTTTGGCTCAAGTTGGTGGCAATCGCCTACAGGATTGCACCTGAATTCTGGAGAAAACTCTCTAGTACATCGGTTTTTGTCGAACACGACGCAATGGCGCACCCGATGGAAGAGGAGTATGTGATGATCGAAACTTTCAGAGACGCCCAACCAGATGATGGGGATTCGGCTACGGTCAGTAGCCTGAGCCTGGCGAGCCTGGACCAGGCAGATGAGGAGGCGAAGAAATTGGCCATGCTGCTTTGGGCCCTGAAGGTACATCGTGGCGAACTTCGAATGTTTGGTGGAGTCTGGCGCCGGGTTCCTGAGTTTAGTCCGCCCCTCCCGGACTGGGCGCAGCCCAAACCTGGTGCACTATCAGCCAAGGTACCGGGCATTGGAGAGACGGACTCACCCAAGTTCCTTCGGCTCGGACATGGTGGAGCCCTTCCATTACACAGACCAGGAGGTGGAAGAACAGAGGCGCGAGGGCACTCGGCCACCACTGGGGTCCATTCTGTCCATTTGGTGGGCTCACGACACCGCCAAAGATGAGAAGTGGCGCAGGGAGAGCCGCACGTGGGACTTGAAGTCCCTCATCCACATTTACTCGATGCGTTACACCTTCAAGTACATCTACAGCTTGTGGTGCAGTCTTCCCCTGGCTATCGAGTCCAAACAGCGGGGCAAAGACGCTCCGGGCTCCGCCACCAAGACCCGGAACTTGAAGCGCACCGAGGCACGCAAGGAGGCCAGTTCCTTTCTAGCCGTTCTGGGCTTGGACAAGCCGGCGGACAAGGATGAATGGCGCCGGGTGCTCCGCGAGATGGGCTCCTTCCTGGCCACCAAGACCTTCCTGACCAACTGCCCCACGCCAGTGATGGAGATGCCGGTGGCCCCAGTGCACGACAGCAAAGAGGCAATGCGCTTCAGGGCAATCTGCGATGAGCGGATCACCATCCCGCTGGATGCACTGAAGCAGTTCCCGGAAGTGCACTCGAAGCTGGTGGGCCAACTCCCACAGTCGGCGATGGTGGATGTCAAGGTCAACTGGCGGTGCAATGTCAGGAGGTGCCGGCCTCGGAGGCCTATCCCCTCCATGCCAAGCTGCACTACTCCCACGAGACCATCCTGGCACTGGGGTGCACCCCACCCCCAGGTGCCTCTGGCCCTGAGGGGGGCTCTGCGCCCATCAAGGGCGACAATCCGAGGGAGCGGGTCGCGAACAACATGGATGTAGGCATCCAGCAGCTGGACCAGGGCAGCGAGGTACTGCCCCCTCCGGCGGCCCCGCCCAATGTTGCTCCTCGCTACCCACGCCTCACGGCCAGCAATGTGACCTCCATCGTGGGCAAGGACTGGCGGAAGAAGCACTACCCGGGCGCCCACAAGGACCGCCACTTCTTCTTGGTGGAGGCGGAGGGCGGCTTGATCCTTCCCAGTATCTCGGCCTGGGAGGTGGTCACCAAGGGAGCGACCAAGGGGGGCTACATGTGGTATTGCCAGGGCTTTTGGAAGGCCTCCCGGGGAGGCAGCCGGTTTCTGCAGATCACCGGTGAGCACCCCTCCAGCTGGTGCTGGATGAGCCACCGGAGGCGCTCTACAACAAGTGGATCAAGGAGCGCATGGAGTTCTACAAGCGGGTGGAGCCCTGCGCGGCCCCCAGGGATGAGCGCCTTGAGCTGGCGGGCAAGATGAACCACCGCTTGCGGTTCAGCACCAGCAACAACCTTGGGGCAATGTCAGACTCCATCTGGCAGGTCATCCTGAGCAATGAGGAGATGAAGGGCATCAGGGCGATCCAGCAGGTGGCACAGAAGGTCACCGCAGCGGCCTGAGCGGCTGACCAGTGAGCGAGGATGCCGCGGGTGGCTCGGCGTAGTCCGTTTCAGACTCACCCCTTTTTGCATCCATTTTGAGCTTTTCGCACCTCCGTGCTTGGACGCCGTAAGTGTCCTCCCCCAGGTCCAGGTGCCCATTGGCCCTGAACAGGGGGGGACCCGGCGGTGGCCATGGTACGGCGCCTAGACGACCTGACTCGTTGCGCAAAAGAGGACCGACATTGCGCTTTGCTTTCTCACGCATGTGGGGGCATGTTGGGGGGTTGTGCTTTGCTTCGATTTAGGGTTCATTGGATTTCCTTCTACCCCTCTCTTTTCCCTCCCCCCAACTGATTGGATTCTGCTTGCTTGTATCGGTGAATTTAGGCTTCGTTGGAAAGCTTTCTTGTTTTGGCGGTTTCTTGACGCCATGAATTTCACTAGTGAGGCTTTCTTGAATCGCACACCTTACTGTCGCGCTTGGGACTCGCTGCCCCGCCATATTTTTGATACCCTGGTGGATGAGGGATTTTCCCCCCGCCAAACTGATGGAGAACTACTGGCGGTGGGTTGCCTGCGGGTGGGCAACCCGGACGAGTCCCTTGAACTTGGGGGCCAACCAGCGGCGGTCTTCAGCCCCCTGGTTTGGGGCTACGACCCGAACGACCCGGATATCCACATGGTCCCTGAGGACTACTTGATGGCGCTGGTCGCGGCGGCCGCAGCTCGCCTCCCTCAACCGGTGGACCGGGAAGATTTGGAACAGATCAGGTCCACCCTGTGGGACCTGCTGATCAAGGTCACTCAGGGCCCCATGTCCACGACCTACGGCCCACTCCAGTACACCTACGACCGGCGAGACATGCAGACGTGGCGCAATCGCAAGAGCCCTCCTCCTTTGCTCCAACCGGAGCTCCTCAAGTGGAGGCACTGGCGCCCAGGACAAGTTGCCACGCTGGAACCTACTACCCAACGGGCTCTGGAACTCCATCTGCGCAGTCGATGGGCGGAACGCCTCACCGCTCACTTTGCACCCTATGCTGAACACCTCCCAAACCTGGAGGCAGTCACGCGGGACTCCGACTTCCGCGTGGAGTTGAAGCATGTCCTGGGAGATGCCAGGTTCCGATCGATCAGGCAACACTGCTTGGTCTAAAGCGGGGATTTGTGGCTATCCCCTGGAGGGAATCGGATGTGCGGGCCCTGCTGAATAGGTTGCAGGCGGATGAGATCTCGCCATACAAACTTGAGCAGATCTGGCAGACTCTGAACTGGCTGTCCAAGATCTTTGGCCTACTGAAGGTGGACGAACACCAGCGTCTTGTCACCAAGAAGAAGGCCCTGGAGGAGGAACTCGCTCCGATGGTGGTTCGTCCCCAAAAGAAAGCTGCAGTCCCTTTGCGGGAAGTGATTTGGGCACTGGAGGAAGGAGCGGCGCTCGGGGGACCCTGCGGCCCCTGGCCGGGAGCGCCATGAGCAGCTGGACGCCTTCATCTTAGGCTTTGCCCGCTTCCAGGCGGGTTGCAGTGCTCGCTTCGATGACCTACAGCATGTCCGACCTGAGGAACTCCGGACTACCTCCAACACTTGAGCTTCAGGCATGGCAGACTAAGGTGGCCCGCGCAGCCCGCATCCGCACGAAGCCAGTGGGCGAATCCTACTGCCTGACACACCCTTGTCCCCCTGGCGAAGCCCAGGCCTTTTGAAACTGACCAAAAGATACAGGGTCTGGGGAGGACCCCAGCATCAATCAAAGCGCATTTGGAAGAAGCCTGCATGCAGCTTTTTGCGCTCTTGGGATCTTTTTGACTTCTGGGTACATATTCACACTTGCATGTAGCTTGCGGGTGCAAGTTTTATGTTCACTGAAGTTCACAAAATGTCCCACCGGGACATTTTGGCTCAAGTTGGTGGCAATCGCCTACAGGATTGCGCCTGAATTCTGGAGAAAACCCACCCCACCCGCCCTTGATGGCAGCAGCACCTGGGGGGGCTGGGGGGGGGGGGGGGGCTGGCGGGGCCCCCCCAGCTGAACCAGTGAAATCCCCAACGGAAGCACCGGATGCCCTCCGACCATTTCTTGATCTCCTGACGAAACTGCTTGCTCTCATCTTGGTAGCCAAACAAATCCCCTGGGTGGTGCAGGCGAAATTGGCCCAGGAGGGCTCTTGGCCGACCCCCCCCGTCGGAGCGAGTACTCCAGTTTGCGGAGCGCAATGCCTGGCGCAAGATTCATGACCTGGTCCACTCAGGCACCCCACTCACTGAGGCCCTATCCAAGCTCCGTCACGACCACCTCTTCTCGAGGTCTATGAATACTGCAACAGTGCCCCACGAACCACCTCCAAGGGCTGGGCAAGAACAGGGGCAAGCCCTGGACCCAGGTCTGGCAAACCCAGTGGGACAAACCTGCCA